GGTGTATCTTTTTGTAATACAAATGAAATGGCATATGTAAAGCACTTTGTAAACTTTAAAATGCTGAATAATAATATTTATTATCAAATTCCATCCTTAGAGAAGATGGCATCTCTTTAGTTACATAAAGTAGGAGGGAGTAATGTATTGGCTACAGGGTGCTTTAATAGTGAGGACATACGGGTATACACAGGGAGATTATCAAGGTGAGATTAAACAGTAAAATTATCTTTTAAAAAACTGTATATTCATCTATGGAGTTCATTCGAGTATTTCTTACCTTAAGCCATGTCTGCATTCAGTGCAGTTCTGAGAATCAGTACATGTCCTGCAGTTTTCACTGCATTTCCGGCAAAGGTTTTTATCTGATCAAAAAATAAAATTGAGGTTAAAAATCAATTCATTGATCTGACTCAACAAAAGTAAGTGTAAATGTTCTAATACCTATTTTTGCAATATCTTCCACATCAATGTGAATGGGAAAAGGTACATAAAAGAATTGCAAAATTACTAATTTCATTGCTACTTCCTATCTAAACACACATTTAAAAATTTTTAATAGAATTTTTGCCCCTCAAGAATTCTGATTTTGGAAAGGCAAACTTGTTCTGCATATGTGTTAAAAGCAGCAGAAGCAGTTGTCCATTAGAGGAAAATTCCTAGGAAATTCATGAATCAGGGTGGTGTTGATGATTCTAAGATGAAACTTAGGTTACTGTTATCTATCTTATATACCTAATAAAAATTATGGCCTGAAACTGGGTTCTTCTCAAAAATTATATAATGTGTTTAATTCAAATATATTTGTGAAATATATATGGGTATTATTAATTACACATGGAGGCAGATAGTGTGAATACATGCTTACAGTTACATTAATATAGAAAGTACCTCATGTTTACTAAGTAGTTTCCTGTAGATTATGGCAGTCCACTTTAATGTAAACAAATAATTTTCCTAACAAAATGCAGCACAGATTCCAAATTATTGATTTTCCAAGTTGTTGTTCATTAGAAGGGGACTCTATTTATTTGTTTGTTTGTTTATGAGGCATCTACCTAGACATATCATAGTATAGTGGAAAGAGCTTGGAGCCAAGAGTGGCCTGGTTTTGAAATTAGTTGCATTGGAAATAACTGAACTTTTTTGAATCTCAGTTTCCTCATCGTTAAAATGGAGATAATCTGTAGTACTTTCTCCAGAGTTATAGTGATAATGAAAAATTGTTGATTCATATTTATGAAACACTCTAAAGTATACAAAATGCAGTCCTCTCCTGAGAAAATACATGTAAAAAACATGGCAAACCTTAAAATAAAATAAAAATGTCAGCTATTATTATTGGTCCTTCCTCCACTATATCGCTTCTCTAATTCTTCCTTATGTCATATTGTCTCTGAGTTTGTAAAGGTTATCTCAGTTGATCTCAAGCTCCGACCCATTCTACCAAGCCAGAAAGATTTTTGGTAGAGGACAAATTGTGGATCCATCAGAAAACTCTCACTAAGTATGGAAAGCCACATCACACAGCAACCAATGAAGGGCTTTCTACTACAGCACGAAAGAGCTGTGATTTGCATTACAGCAAAGTCGTACCTAGGAGGCAGCTAGGTGGCTCAGTGGATAGAGTATTGGTCTGGAGTCAGAGAGACCTAAGTTCAAATCTAGCCTCAGACACTGAATAGCTGTGTGCCTGGGCAAGTCACTTAACCTCTGTTTGCCTTAATACACTGGAGAAAGAAATGGCAAAACACTCCAGTATCTTTGCCAAGAGAACTCCGTGGAGAGTATGGTCATGAAGAGTCAGACATAACAGAACAGTAAGAAGTTATACCTATACTGAAGACATCATGTACCTTTCGGCATTTTCAAGAAGTATCTACACAGACCTTATTTGAATAGGAAGATTGATAAAACCCAATCATAAACAAGAATCATAAAGTAAGAAAGTACAACTATGAATGTGAACATTGCAATGTTCAAATAAACCGTACTTTAAACTGTTTGAATATGTCTATCTTGTTATTTCTCGCAATTTGGAAGAAGACTGGACGCATGCAACTCTGGATGCTATCACATAATGATCATGATCACATTCCCTCTATAAGGCTCTCTGTTTCCCTGAATGAACAATAATTCTCTGTATCATTCCTTTTTTCCCCCACTTTTTTCCCTCCTCCCTACCAATCACTTGACTTTTCTATGTAAGCAGGAATTGGTGGGAATTCCATTCTGTTTCTCTATTGACTAAATACCAAGGTCACTGTTGAGCCATAAGATCTAGTTCCCACCCACTTTTGGATGGAAGCAACAAGGACTTTTACTACCCAGGAGGTAAGAGAGATGAATGTGTTTTTTTCCATGGAAATTTTTAATAGCCTTCTGTTATTCTTTTTTTAAATTAGATTTTCTACTTGGCCAGGAAAAGTAGAAACATGAAATTTCAGATCAGTAGGTGTCACGTTTAGATTATCTGCAAGCCTGGCTTCCACTTTAACATCTTTAGATATTTGTGCACAGATTTTCCCACACTTTCCCATTCAAATCTGCAAAATACCCAAGTCCCTCAAAATCCCAACAATGACTAAATTTTGGTTAAAATTAACCAGAATCCAGACCTCAGGAAAGAGGAATTCCTCCTCCTTAAACCCCCTCCTTTAAATATAAACCCAATACTTTCTCCCTCAACCCCAAACAACAGAAATGAGCTCACTCATATCCTGGTAAAATCCATCTGGGCAGGTGATGACACAAGTATTGGTTTCTTCATTCAGGAAGTAGCCATATTTGCAAGACAGGCATTGGTTACTATGGCTTCCAATACAAGACTCACAACTTGGGGCACATTTTCTACAGCGCTTCTTGTCTGCATGGTAGTGACCCGGGGGACAGCTTGAGACACAGATTCTGGATTGTTGGGGACACAAAATTGAAAGGTTAAAATAACCCCTGAATCTTTCTCATGTATTCTCCTAATATATGAGAGACAACTAGTCAACAATCTTGGCTTCCAGTTTTCAGCACTGCTCTGTTGTATATCCTCTGCCCATGGACTCAGTGGTGGTCTCTGAAGCCTTCTCCATCCTGGTGTGTTCACAGAGAAGAGACCTACCTTCCTGTTTAGTTCTTGCCTTCAGTCCATCAATCAACAAACACTTATGCCTACTATGAAGCACCTCTAATGGATATGAGTTAGCCGAAAGGTCAAAGGGAATTTGGATTAATTAGGAATGGAAAAAGGAATGTTGCCATTTCAAATTCCAGATTTGGCAGTTACAAGTTGTTTGATGTCTGGCTGGTTAATCTCTCTAGGCCTCATTTTCCTTGTCTGGGGAAACTAATACCTGCACTGTCTCTTTCACAAAGATGTTCTGAAGATTAAATAAAACAATGCACAGAAAATGTTTTAACATAATTATATGTTATTAATAACACATTGGGCATTATTATTGCTTTGGCAAGGAAGAGGAGAAAAGATAATTTGTTTAAATCTAGATATCTTGATAATGTTCAAGAGGTGACAGTGGATGGGGAGATGCCATGTGGAACATGGAATGAAGAATGAAGAGGAATTATAATCTTAGTCTCACTTTCCAGATCTGTAAAATAAGAGCATCTATCTTATAGGGTTATTGTGAGGATCAAATGTGATAACATATGTGTTGTAAACCTTAAAGTACCATATAAATGATGATGATCACAATTTTCCTTTCATGCCTTTAGCAGCTAAGTGGCTCAGTGGATAAAGTGCTAGTCCTGTAGTCAGGAAGACCTGAATTCAAATCTGGAACTTACTACCCTGGGCAAGTCACTTAATCTCTATTTGCTCTAACCTATTGGAGAAGGAAACATTGAACCACTCCAGTATCTTCGCCAAGAAAACCCCATGTACAGCATCGGTATGCTATGGTCCACTACACCTTGTTAGTGTCACAAAAAGCTGGACACAAGCAAAACAGCATCATGCCTTTCTTCTGAGAGGTAGGCAGTGGAGAAGCATTTTCATAATTTTCCATCTGGACAAGCTGAACCAAAGCTTATGACTGAGCAGTATAAACAATGAAACTTACCGTGTATTGTTTTTCAGTTTGTAGTAGTAGTGCAGGCAGTCATTGCAGTGGTCTGGTCCTGGTCCATCACATCCTACTTTACTGCACTCGGGGTCACAAGGACCTTTGGGAATCCAAAAAGAAACAAAAGCAACTCAACACATTTCTAGGAAATGACTTTTTAAGTGAGTTTGTATTTCTATTGCCTTATCCCCCAGAAATCAGTGTGATTGTTAAGTCAAGAGAAGAACCTTTGACTTTCTTGAGAACACAACTGATGTTGAGGGGCCATTTCCCTCCACCAAAAAAAAAAAAGATTCAGGCCATGCATTGGCCATGAGAGTCAATGTGGTACAGTGGCTACTCTTGGAATCAGAAAGACTTGTGTTTAAGTCCTGTTTCTGACACATTAACCTTTTAGTGCCCCACGTCACACTCAGAGATTGAAAGTTACAGATGAGTTACTGCTTTGTATCAGTAAAGAGAATTTCATAACAGTGTCACTGGATCAAAAGCACTGACATCAATAAATATTCAGGATATAAAGAATGTAGTAGAGAAGTAAAGCCGATGTTAGAACAGAAGTACAGCCAGTGCACAATGCTCGATTCCTTTGAGGTTAGCAGAGCAATACAACAAGCTTCAGTGATACTCTGGCCAACATAAAACGTTACTATGACATTTGGCACAAATTTATCGGCATCTAGTCTTGGATTACAAAGCAGGAACTTTAGGCACAGATAATATAGTAACAATTACATCCTTGCCCACACGCCAGTGGGCAAGTCAACAAAGAAAAACTACAGATAAAATGAAAAATCAGGCAGTAAGTCTAAATCACTTCAAGACTTGGGACCTGCTCTCTAGGAACCCACTAGCTTCATATTGCCTGGCAGAGAACAAAAGGGAACATGCAGTGGACAACAGCACTGCACAGGAAGATGGGAAAGGCTTCGTGTCTTTCCTATGGAAGTTGAACTACTTCCTGATTGGTGGAAAAGATTCCAGGGTTATGAACTAGTGAGAGAGAAGTCCTTGTCCTCTGGCCTCTTTTACTTGCTGTTTATAATTGGGAATCTTTGGCCTCATGAGGTATAGGTCCTTCCCTGATCTAAAGTTCTATAACCCTACAACTCCTACCAGCAATACATCATACTCAGTGGAGGGGAAGTGGGTATTAGCAGCTGCACACCAAATAATTTACTTCAAGCAAGAGAAGGGTGCTGGGGGGACATCTCTCTCTCTCTCTCTCTCTCTCAATCTCTCTCTTTCAGTCTCTCTCAATCTCTCTCTCTCTCTCTTCTCTCTCTCTCAATCTGTTTCTCTCTCTGGGCCTCTGTCTCTGTCTCTCTGTCTCTCTCTCTCTTTCTCAGTCTGTTTCTGTCTCTGGGCCTCTGTCTCTGTCTCTCTCTGTTTCAGTCTGTTTCCCTCTCTCTGGGCCTCTCTGTCTGTCTGTCTGTCTCTCTCACAGTCTGTTTCTCTCTCTGGGCCTCTGACTCTCTCTCTTTCAGTCTCTCTCTCCCCCCCCCCCCTTCTCTGTCTCCTTCCTGCCACCCAGATACAACGTTTTTACAGAATTACAAAACTCCTGAGTTGGAAGTAACCTCAGAGGCCTTGTAGTCCAAAACGTATCCAAATACAAATTCCTTCTACAGCACACCCACGTAGTCATCCTGCCATGCTTAACGACACACACTCCTCCTATTGAGCAGCATAAACAAGGACATTTGCCGTGTATTGTTTTTCAATTTGTACTATTAGTGAATACAGATTATCTGTCTATAATAGAGGCTATCCCAACTGTTGGACAGTTGGCCTCTCTGTAACTGCTACTTATTGTTCCTAGTCCTGCCTTTTTCCCTCAGTTCCTTCTCTTGAGCCTCATATGACATAATCTTGAGGCCCATCAACATCCTAGTTATTCTCCTTTATAAGCTTTCTAGGACACGCATGTCCTTCCTGAAATGAGGTGCCCAGAATGCAACCACTGCGTCCACAGATAACTTCTAAGGGCAGTTCTGAAATTTAGCATGCATTATATTATGAATATTTAGTCTCTCTCTCTCTCTCTCTCTCTCTCTCTCTCTCTCTCTCTCTCTCTCTCTCTTCTCTCTCTCTCTCTCTCTCCCTCCCTCCCCCCCTCTCTTTTCCCCTTCCTTTTCTTTTTTCTTTTTTCTTTTTCATTTTCTGTTTTGGAGGTAATGGAGATCACACAGTTAATAAGTGTCTGAGGCTGGATTTAAACTCAAGTCTTCCTGACTCTAGGGCCAGCGCTCTATCAACTACACCACCTAGATGCCTCTTAACTTTTATTTTAATTATAAGATTTTTTTTATTATAAGATAATGAGTTCTAGATCTGAAAGGAAAGTGCTGTCATCCCTTCCACATTGTTGGGGGTTAGGGGTGAGGCACCCCTGTGGTCTGGAAAATCTGCGTAAAAATTTTTGGCCCTCCCTTTGGAGAAAGAGTCTGAATTTTTTCTTTTACTCTTACGGGGTGTTTATAGTACCTTATTGTAAAAATTGGGTTGATGTTATATAATACCAGACATATATTTTATGCATTTCTGAGATTCTAAACTTTTTCCGAGTTGTCTGCTGGCCTTTTTGTGTCATCTGCAGCTTCTGGAAAACTCCCCCAAAATTTCCATATAATTTCTTCTGCTGACCTGTGATATATTGAAACTATGATGGGGAAAGGATGACTGTAGTCATTTCTATATATCGAAGAGCCTAAATAATGTTATGCTAATTAATGACAAAGCCATCTTCCATGGGGTACAGTCGATATAATGTCAAGCCTGGAGTCAAGAATACCTGAGTTCAAATCTGGCCTCAATAATTACTAGCTGTGTAACACTGGGCAAATCACTTAGCCCTTGTTTGCTTCAGTTTCCTCATCTATAAAACGAGCAGGAGAAGGAAATGGCAAAGCACTTCAGTATCTTTGCCAAGAAAACCCCAAATGGGGTCTTGTAGAGTTAGATATGACTGAAAAACAACCGAGCAACAGCTACCTTCCTGCAATGTTGAGTCTCACCATTTCAAAAGTCCCAAGTATAAACACAAAACTATTCCTATTTTTGAAACAGCTTATGAGGTCTGACAAATAACATCTCTGTTCTGTGGAACTGAATTTCAGTTTAGCTCTGTGTCCCATTGACTTGAAAAGCTTGTGAAGGCAGTGTGATTGAGGCAGAATCTCTGTGATCAGATTAATTGGTAAAGAGATCTAGGCAAAGTCAGGCTAAATGCCTGAAGTCTGGCTGACTTCTGAAAAAAAAATTGAAAAAAATCAGTTAGCATTTAAGCAGTAGGACAACTTCAGAGAAAAACGGTTTCCTGGTGGACCTAATTTTTCACCAAATGACTGAGAAAATAGGAGAAGAAAAAGCATTTCTTCATCTTTATTATGAGAACTCTGAATAGTAAGTCATTCTAGTACTTTTCCTGAATTGCCCATTCTAATGTCAGAATAACCAGAGCTTAGCTTAACCCAAGGAAGCACTCTACTTTTATGGGTTACTATGGTTCAGTAAGCTCAGTTTAGGTCCTAAGAGGGAAGAACCAGGAGCAGCAGGTCAAGAAAGCATATTTAAGTCCAAAGGAAAGAAAAACTTCCTAATAATTAGAGCTGCACCAAAGTGGAGTAGCAGTAGGTAGTGCAGTCTCCTTGATCAGAGATCTTCAGCCAAGGCCTGGGTGACCATATGATGAGGATATTGAAGAGAGAATTTTTTTTTTCAGGTATCAGTTGGATTAGATGACCATTAAGGTTCCTTATAACTGAAATTCTGAGACACTCAAAGTCTATGACTCTTTGGTCACTTGCAAGAGTCAACATAGAAATGGTTCATGAGCAGACCATAAAGGAGTTTATCTTTACTTACTTCGTGAACAAATTTAGTGTTCAAAACCATCCTGGAAAGAAGAGTACCATGGAGCAGACAGAAACAGTAAACACACACCTGATGTATTTGGTTGCCATTTTGATAAATATATGGGGGAAATAATTTCTCTTGTCTACAATAGAGATAAGAAAATGGCCCATTGGATTTCTACTGCATAGGAAAACCACATTGCCAAAATGGAGAGCTTGGATGATTTAGCCAATTAGGTGCTGATTAACTCAGTAGGCTTGAAAGCACTATAATCGAAGTTTATAAATTACTCTGAGGCAGTTCTTGTTGAAACTGGACTTGCATGAGTATCTAAGATATTAAGTTATGAGACATATCAACAAAGGGTTTTCTCTTAATTCCTGCAGGAAAGATCTTGGCATGAATTATAAAAATATGTGGTCTTCTCAAGGGCAATGTTAAGTGTGTAATTTAAGAACAGCTCTCCAATGAGAAAAAGTTCGCTCATTATGCAACAGTTCCTTAATACATACAGATATTCAAAGGAATAGGACACACACAAATTAAAGTGAATTGGGAATATACCGAGAATTCATGGATCTAGCTTAGATTTTATGCCAAAGAGTTCTATGAAGTCCATGTCAGAGGAGGTATAGTACAGTCAGTAGACTGATTGCTCTGGAATCAGAGATCCTGGGGTTCATATTCTACCTTCTGAGGTTTGCTACATGTGTGACCTTGGAAAGATCACCTAGCCTCACTAGGCCTCGGTTTCCTTATTTGCAAAATGAGAAATTTGACTAGATTCTTTTCAGCCTTTGCACATCTAAGAACCTAATACAATGTGTCTTGGGTATGGTAGTGGAGTACAGGAAGATTTGCTCAGTTTTGCTCTATCTACAATTTCCCACTCACCTGCATAATCATCTGTAATGTAGTCTTCTGTAGGGTCCTCCACTCGACTAGAGCGTACACGTTCCACTCTGGGAAAGTCATTTGTTGGAGAATAAGGCTGAATGGATGTTCCGTAGAGGACCAAAGACCATTCTTTCAATTTGCCTTGGGAAAAAAATCACAAAATCAGAGGATCACCAGATGCTCACATTTCAGGGTTTTTCATCTTTCCATCTGGTCCTTTCAAAATTGGAAAATTAGTTAGAAGTTGAGCTTCATATTTGTATGAATCATTGAATCAGGGGCTAATCCTGAAACTGTTTTCTGTGGGTATGTGTATACGGAGGGTAAACTTTCATTATTATATCTGCACTAGGTTTTTTCCCATCATGGGGACAAGGCTTTTTACTTTCTAACAAATTAATGTACATCTACATCTACATCCACATCTACATATATGTATACATACATACATACACACAAACACACAAATATAGTTGATTCTCCTACATATCTAGCTCCTCTTCCCCTTCATAAATTTTATCCTATCTTCATGTTATTACAAATTATTCCACCTCCTCATCCTGATACCCAAACAGGAGCTTGTTAAAGGAAGAAATGTCAATAGATGTGCACAAGCTACAGAAATTATTTGTTATAAGGGGCTCATATGCAGTGAATTTGAGTGACATTTCCAAGAGATATTAGAATGAAGAATAACCTACCTGAGCTAAGAGGTGAATATTTCCATTCCCTACTACCGGGAAAGCTGAAGCTGGAAGATCCTTGAATTTAGGAGTTCTGAGTTGCAGTAAAGATAAAGCTGCTCAAGTGTCTGAACTAAGTCTGTCACTGATGTGGTTAGTGCCTGTGAATGGAAGGTCAGTAGGCTAGCTAAACAGGGGAGCAAATCAGCCCAGGAAAATGGAACAAATTAATGACTCCATGCCAACCAATAATGGAATCAAGCTGATGAGTAGCCACTGCATTTCTGGCCTGGATAAGACAGGAAGACACATTTTTTAAAGAAGAAAAAGAAGAAAGAGGAAGAGGAAAAAGAGGAGAAGAAGGAGGAAAAATAGAATCTAGAAGATTTCAAATTTCTGGATATCACATTATATGCCATCTCAGAGAATCCCTGAATTTTATTGAGGATTTTCTTTTCATAAGGCATAAGAAATAGTCTTAAGAGAAAAAATTTCAGTGTCATCTGAATTGTTTATCACTTTCTAGGCCACCAACTGAACTTTGCCCTACTTAGTCCCTAAAGCAGATTTATCCAGTCATTACAACGCACACACACACACGCACACACACACACACCCCATCCTTGCCCTACCCCACCTCAAATTAATCTAATTCTATCAGGCCTTTTCAGGAGAGACTGGACATTTTAACAGTCAATTAGTTAGAACAGAGTCAATGCATCACCTCCCTTTGGTAAGGTTTCAAGAAACTTTTCTTCAGAGCAGATCTCTTTCTTACTTGCTTATTCCTTTATATTTTGGCTTCATTAAAGTTATCCTTTGGTTCAAAAATAGGCTTTTGGCATCAAGTATAATTAAAAGGAATTGCCATTGGCTTTAATGATTAATACATATAAGCTAAATAATATAAAATAGTAGGAAGATGGTAATTGTCTTAGGCCATGATGTTATCATGAAACATAAGATCTGCCTATATACTATAATGTGAAAATTAAGGGATGAAGTTGTTCCGAACTACTGCATGTAAGTAGCTGCAGGTGAGAGCCTTCCAAAGGCAACGTTCGCCCATGTGAAAACTTGGGAACCTAAAGAAAGTGCATTGGCACGTCTTAATTTATAGGAGTATCCAAGCCTGAACTTCTTAGAATGGTCAGCCAGTCCATACACATTTATTAAATGCTTATTATGTACCAGGCACTGTGTTAAGCCCTGGGAATACAAAGAAAGGTGAAAGACAGTTCTTGCTTTCAAGAATGCCAGTACTTAACTCTATTCCCTTTATTTTCCTATAGGGTGGTAGAGTGGAAAGAACACTAAACAAGGGATTCACAGACCTAGGTTCAAATCCCACTTCCAGTACTTTACTAGCTATGTGACCACGGACCAGATATTCATACTCTCTGGATCATAGTTTTTTCAGTTTGTATAATTGGATAATAGTATGGATACTATCTACCTCACTTGATTATTAAAAGTGTTTTATAGAAATAAGAGCTATTATTTTTATTGCTATTATTCTTTCACTTTACCTGTTCCTCTTTGAAATCACCTGTTACCAGATATTCTTTTTAAAGTCTATAGCATACCTAGCATTCCCCGGGGCTCTCCAGCTTATTCCATCACTGTTGTCATGTAATGCACATAATTTGTATTTAAACAATAGTAAGAATTACTGAGAGATTGCAACAAGTTGATGAATAGATTGCTTTTGTTATTGAATGGTGGCATAAACCAGAGCAAGTTTTCTTATTCATTTCACCCAGCTCAGAAAAAAACAGACAGAAAGGTGGGATAATGGGGCTGTTTGTTTTCTTACCTATCAGCCACTCTCAAATCTATTTCTTCTGCTTTAGTTCACAGACTCTCTGATAACCACCCTGTAAGTTCTTTGGTGAGCATTGCTGCATGATACATCTTGTTTCTTTCCCTTGTGCTATTTCTTAAATGTGTAATAGACAAAATAGGACTAGCCTGGTCCTGTCACTCAGCTCCATTTCTCCTCTTTGGGGTACTTAACGGGACATTATTTTGAGATTTGTAACCACTGCCAGGATTTCCATCAAACCACTATCATATTAGGCACTTCATTTTCCCCCCACTATGGAAGCAAATAGCCATGGGGGTGGAGAAGGAGGCAGGAGAGTTTCTTACTGAAGAAGGACATTCTGTTAAGCAATTGCTGGGCAAATAAGGAATGAGAAAATCTATGCAACTTGCCAGCATATAAATGTCATTTGTCCCCAGGGCAGCTTTAATGTGCAAAATGAAAATGCTTCACAAAATATATATTTTAATAATGAATAAACACAAAATCTAAATGGGGGCCAGGAACATCTCTATTCTGGACCATTTCCCCTATTTAATTTGGCCTGGAAGAACTCTATATCCCCAACCAAGCACCCAATAAAGACTTTCTTCTTCTTGAAGGTAGAAATCTATCACATTCCAAAGAAGTAACTATAGAAATGTAGTAGGTGTTTTTTTCCCTCTTAAAAAAATCACTTTCCATCAAGAAGTATGATTTACCCCTAAATATAATAGGATTTAGGGATTGTTACACATCGACTATTACTAGCCATATGTTAATACTTTCCTGGCAAGGCAAAAAAAAAGCAAAAAAGAAAACCATACCTGATATGAGAAATGTTTGGGGTTAACTGGGAATAGGGTTGACCTTGACCTTGACCTTTGTGTACCTGAAGTCAACAATTTCATTTATATAGTGCTTTAAAAAACTTATTTCACAAAGCACTTTCCTCATAATAGTCTCTTAGGTTAGCACCTAGCAAAGTGCCTGGTATAGAGTAGGCACTTCATAAAAAAAAACTTGTTTGATTGAGGTAGATTTTGCCAGTATCATTAGTTCTGTTTTACAGATAAGGAAATAAGTTCATCATGGTAAAGTGACTTGCAGGGTCACAAAATTAATAAGTGATCATGTCACTTCAATAAAATTTGACAACTAAAGAGCATTTCTTTTAGGTAATTGGGGTCAAGTGACTTGCCTAGGGTCACACAGCTAGTAAGTATCAAGTGTTTGGTCTGAGGCCAGATTTGAACTCAGGTCCTCCTGACTTCACAGCTGATGCTCTATCCACTGCACCTTCTAGCTGCTCCTACCAAAGAACATTTATTAAGTGTCTACTACGTGTAAGGCATTGGTGATTCAAAGAGCTTATCTTCTATTGTGGTAGGCATAGTGGTGACAATGAGGAATGCACCATCAAATATGTAAATTTATATATGATAATCTGAGTGCAGTAAGTCACCAAGCACTTGTTAAAAATTTACCATGGGTCAGACACTGAGGATGCAAAGAAAAGCCAAAACACATTCCCTGCCCGTAAGGAGTTTACAATCCAATGGAGGAAACAACATGTAGCAGCTAGGTGACTAGAGTTTTATTGGGTATCCCTCCCATGAGGTGAATAGAGTTCTGTATAGTAACAACTCAGAGGAATAGCAAATGCTTGTCATAGGAGGTGCTACAGGAGTCTCAGAGTCTACCCAATAAAGTATATAAAGCTATGACTCTAATCTCCAAGGATCTCTACAATGTGACTCTCACCTCTTTGTCTAGCTTTATTTCAGAATCTTCCCCTTCATATATATTCTACCCTCTCCTGTTTGCATTTGCCTCACCTCATTCTTCATGCCACAAATGGAATGTTCTTCCTTTCCTCCCTCATCCCCCAACCCATCCATGACTGTTGTAATTGAGTTGAATTGTAGTGAATCAGAGTCAGGAACTTGAATCCAGGTCTTTTGATTCAGCTCTGGTCCTCTTTCCATTACAACGTACTATGTGCATGCAGAGCTATAAGGCTATCAGTTTTTATTTCTCATGGGACAAGAGGGAAAAAAAATTTGTGATTCATGTGCCAAATATAAGAGATTTCCTTGAGGGAAGGGATGAGATCTTGGATATTGAGAGATAACGTGGTAGAGCTGATAGAGGACTAGACTTTGAGGCAGGAAAACTTGGTGTTCACATTCCACCTCTAACATCTACTAGCCATGTGATGATGGGCAAGCCATGACCTTTTTATCTGAGCATCTGTTTCTTCATCTATAAAATGGGGCTGATAATATCTATTATAGTGTCTACTTCACAGGATTGCTGAGAAGCTCAAATGAGGTGTACTATAATGGGCTTATAAAACTTCAAGCAATGTATAGATGTCAGTTATTATTATTACTTTGTTGAATTTTGCACCATTACAATACTAGACATGTAATAGGTTTTCAGTGCATATTGCCTGACAATTGCCACTTAGGCTAGGGACCCTTTTCTTATTTATCTAAGCATTAGCCAACACCTAAACATCTATTAGCCATGTAATGAAGGCACAGAGGTACAATGGGAAGGATATTTGACTGAGTCACAGAATCTCAGTTCAGATCTCGTTTCACCTTTACTACCTGTGAAATATTAGGCAAGTTGCCTTAACCTCATGGGATCTTAATTCTTCATCTATAAAGTGAGTGTTGGAATCGATAAGTTCTTAAGGTCCTTCTACTCTCCAAACCAGTAATTCTAAAGGTCACCACTATGTCCTGTCTTTTACCCCACAAAACTTCATGCAGCTGATTCTACTCACACTTCAAAACATGGAAGATTTGAGATCATTTGTGATGTGTGCTTCTTTGAAGGATCAGAATGAGATAATGGCAACCTGGATTGACTCAAAGTTGTTTCTTCCCTGGATGATCAGATGGAGCATTGATGAGATAATTGCTAACTTAGGATACTTGTGATTTGATTACAGAATGGCTGAAAAAAACATGATGGTGGGTAAATGGAACACAGGCATGTGTACTACCCTGTGGGACATGACCAGGACTGGCTTTTAAAAAAATATATCAAACCTTCTGCCCCATGTTGAAGTTATGTCAGGACTTATTTTATTCTACAGATTAATGTCATATGTTAGTGTGAAGAAGGCAGCTTGCCCAGTATGACCAGAGTGGCTTGAATCCTCCTGAAAAGGCCTTTGTTCATATGGTCATTTCCATGTTACATGTGTCCAAAAGGTTTTCAGGTTTATGTCACTCAAGAAAGAGTAGAATGTCATCAGTCATGCTCCCCCCTGTAAACTCATTTAGCTGGTATAGGACACATCCAATACCTTGCTTAAGTTCACAAATTTAATTTGGAAGGAACTCAGGGTGGAGACACCTAAAGAAATTCATTTCCTTCTATCAATCATGTAAAGAAGTGAAGATCAGACAATTTAGTTTCTCTGTCTTTTCCCTATGAAACATAAGGCATGTATTGTTGGGGCAAACAAGGCGGTCTGCTGTTGCTCTGTTCTCATTGTTACTGACTTTCCTTGAGCTCTGAGTTCCTAGTGGGCAGGGACTACACCTGCCTAACACATAGCCTAGCCCAGCTTGAATGGCAAATATTTTGTACCCTACATTATTTTTTGATGATGGTAAGATAAGAGTCAATGTGATGGCTGTTTGTTACAGGTCAAAATACTATTCCATATTCTTCCAATTCAGAAAACAAGGTTAGCAGGAAATTAATGAAGACTGGTGCCTACCTGGTGTCTTGAAGTTCCTCAGCTGAGATGGGGTATCGTAAACTTCCAGCACCCAGTCACCTGCTGCTTTTTCTCCCCAGCAATGAATAGTCATAAACTCCCAGTTTTTGAATCCTTCCATAGAATGATCAAATAGCCTGGAACAGAATCACCAAACATTGCTTTGTGTATGAGTATAAAAAAATCAATGAAATACACCATCAACGATGCTTCCTCTATCTATAATCGCCAGCACACATGCAGAGACTTTCTCCACTTAAGAAAGGGCATCATCTCACAAATGATGTTATCATTGGAGCATGAGGGTTAATCTTCATGACATTGGTAAAGTGGCTCAGGGCTAACAGTTCGTGGGAAGCTTGCCAGGTCAACATCAAGGAAAAATCAATGCAGTATTAGGATGATGAATGAATATAGATGAATGGTAGGCAGACATGGTCAAGTATCTACCTACCAATCTCCTCCCTTCTCAAAAATGAAAGCTCTCAGTATCATAGATGAAGAAAACTTCATTCTGTCAATGGTGTGCTGGAGGCTAATGAGAAAGGCACCCACATTTGAGTAGAAAGAGCATTTAATTTGCAGTCGGATGACTTAAGATTATCTATCTCAGATACTCATTACTTGGGTGACAATGGGCAAGTCATTTAACCTCTCTATGCCTCAGTTTCCTTAAGAGTAAAATGACAGAATTAAACTAGCTAGCATTTAAGGTCCCATCCAGATTTGAAGTTATGTTCCTATATGACTTAAGATTTATGATTATCTGAAGAAAGAACTATCCAAGTAAGGTTATCCAGGATCCTGAAGAAATAATTGTTGGCAGTGTTTCTGTTATTTAAAGTCATAGTTTCCAGAGAAGAGCAATGAAACAGGAAAATAAGTCTTGGTTATTTGTCTATGTGGCTTTGAAAGAAAGAGAAAAGGAAGCAATAGGATAAATTCAGTTTCAATTTAACAAACATTTATTAAGCAGTATATATATGCCAGATACTTTGGATACAGAAACAAATATAACACAGTTGTGGCTTCAAGAAGTTTTCATTCAAGTAGAAAGACTAGATTCTACTGGATAAAGACTTCTTCATTGGATACTGTATCCTGTTTCAATGAAGACTATATGGATTAGAACACTTTGTGTTCTGTCCATAGGGGCTAAATCCTGGGGGTATGCTGGTAAATGTTTAACAACAAGACTATATGGTTTAAAAAATTTTGTGCTCTGTCCATGGGGGCTAAATACTGGGATTATGCTGGTAAATGTTTAACAACAAACTCTCTGAAAAAAAAATTACACATGACACATTTTAAAATTTAATCTGCATTACTAACATTCTCTTCATTACTTTTTTAAGTCTAGAAAATTAAAAAAATAATAAATCAAACCTTGATTTGTAGCATTTCTCAGTTTCCAAGGTACAAATGCTCATTCTGAAAATTCATTTAGTTATTTATCTATTTGTTTTTAAGTGAGGCAATTGGGGTTAAGTGACTTGCCCAATGTCACACAGCTAGTGAGTGTTATGTGCCTGAGGTAGAATTTGAACTCAGGTCCTCCTGAATCCAGGGCCAGTCCTCTATCCACTGTGCCACCTAGCTGCCCCTCGTTCTGAAAATTTAACAATTGACTCTTAGAGCTGGCTCTAGCACATCATTGGAACTATACCCTACTCACATATTCATGTTTTCTACCTGAGTTAATTCTCTGCAAATAAAAAATACATTTTACTTACAAATAACTTAAATGAATTTTTCCTAGGTGAGGGGGAACGATCTTATCTCCCCCCAAAACAACTTTATTTTTAAAATTAACAAGTTAAGGTTATAACATTAAAAGGGATTTCTTTGATACATAGCATAAAATTACTATGACTTAAAGAGAAAAACTCGGTAAGGCTGATGATGGAGTAGAGAGTTAAGAATAAGCAAAGCTTTGGAGTATCAAGCCTCAAGGACTAATTTGAAGTAATATCCAAATTTTGATAGTGCATTTGGAGAGTAATTGGCAGATGGAGATTTGATTTTCTTAATAGTATTATGGTAATTGAATTATAGAAGGTCAGAGTGAAGAAGTAGAAACTTGGGTCTAAATCAGGATTCTGAATGAGGGGGCTTACTTTATTAAGTTCCTGAAATCCAACACTGACCTAGGGGAATTGACTTTGGAGTTTACTGCCTTGAAGTGGAATTGACTAACAAGAATCTGATAGGGCGTGAAAGAGTATACACTTTATTCTAGAAGTCGCCCCACATCGAGTTAGATTTTCTTCGTGCCTGAACTATTTCATGGTTGTAACTCAGACACCTTTGCAGACTTCCATCCAATCACTCCTTCAGGTCATGGAGAAGTCACTCAATGCATTGAAGCAATAACTTACTGAATGCAACCTTTCCAAGTGTCTAATGTACACTCTGGGAGCAGCTGAGGTAATGGGAAAGTTTGGCTTAACGCCTCATACCTCTAAACTACAAAGGAGACTCCTCGAGGCAGCCATCACATGCTGGCCACACTTCTATTTTTGTAACTACAGCCAAATCTTGATTATTCAGGGGTCAGTTGTCCAATCTGTAGTTTAACTGACCCCATATTTCTCCTCTTTCAAATTTTTCCTTCCCACCTGCCTGCCTTCATCTTAGTCATTTTGCTACTCTCAAGCAACGGCAAGAATTTATACTGGAGGCCTGACACATCTAAATTCAACCTAAACCAGGTGGGAGTGGGATGGGGATGGGAAGAGAGAAAAACAAAGACATTTTTAGAATTCTAACAAGCGCCTCAGACTTCCGAATGCAAACAGACTTTGTCTACCAGGTCAGGAAGCAATGAATTATATAATCCTCGTCATTTTGGCAGCCAGAGTCTGTGGATATAAAGTAGGGGAAATAAATCTCAGAGTGTCAATATTGCTATGCATTCAAAAGTTTGATGGTGAAAAAGTTGACATTAATTTCTTTGGTAATCTGAGAATTTAAATAGACCTCTGAAGTTCACCCTTTCTCCCAAAACATAGGCAACATTTTATTGTAATTTAGATTCGGGATTATGATCTACTTCCTCTTTATGAAATAATGCACCGTAGGCACTGTAGATAGCTAGATGTAACTAGTAGGTAATGGAAACCAGGATTCTAGAAATTTGTTTTTTGAAATTCAGAAAAAAGAAACCCCCAAACATAGAAAGAAGAAAATTGATGAAATGTCCCTCACATTAACTGTTCCAGGACCAAAATTTTAAGTTCAAACAAACAAAAATAATTTGCATAATCAAATGCCAAAACCATTCAACATATTCCCAGATTTTAACTATGGATTTATCAATGATTTGCTAAATTTAAAAAAAAGTGGTCTTTCAGTTCTGAGTTTCTATAGTGTACCAAGCAAGTTACATATTGGTGTTAGGAGACTGCAAGGATTGGCGGAGTGGGGGGTCGAGGGGATGGGTTTCAACATTAAACATAAGCAAGAGAGGAAGTAGATAGACAGATGGTCTCAGAGGCAGAAAGACTAGGGTCTAAGTCCTGCCTCTAACATTTATTTACTGGTTGTGTGGCCCTGGGCAAGTCCCTTAACATGTCAGTGACAGTGGTTTTAAAACAAATAGAAATGGAGGCCACTAATCTGTTCATAAGGATCCCTGTGGGCCACATATTGACTTAATTTAAAAATATAATGTTATCTATATTATATTTTTATTACATTAAATATTTCCCAATAACAATTTAATCTGCTTTGAGCTGTACTCAGGAGAGTTAGGTGTTTGACACTTCTACTCTAGGTAATTCTTTAAGATTATAAATTGCAGAGAAAGTGTCAACTTTAACTGGTAAAAGTCTTCCTCCTCTGAGAGTTCTCTATGATAATGAAATTACAGGCCTAATCCCCTCCCTTCTCACCTCCCACCCCCCAAAGAGGAGACAAAATTATCTCTATTTGTACATAACATTACCCAAATTACCTTACAGGGCTACGCTGATCAAATGGACATTTTATATAATCAAGCAAAATAATAACAAAATTCATTTGGAGGCATTAAAGGTCAAGTATATTAAGTGACATACTGAACAAGGAGGAAAGTGAAGGTAGTATCTGTCAAAACCATCTGGTACTGGATAAAAAAAAATAGAACAATAGACTAGAGAAGCAAGACCTCTAAACATACGTGCATGGTGCTTTCTTAAACCAAAGAGAGCAAACTATTGAGGGACAGACTCTGACAAAAAAATGCCGGGGAAGTTGGAAAGCAATATGAGGAAAAATAATCATCTCACACAGTATACAATGATACCGTCCAAAAATGGATTAATTATTCAAATGCAAAAGTTACATCATAAAAATTAGAGAAGGTTGTATTTTTTACAGTTATGAATGGGGGAAAATTTGCACTTGGGCGTGAGATAGGAGAGATCTTAAAATGAAATAGATATTATCAATTATATAAAATATAAAAGCTTTTGCAGAAATGAAATTAATCCAGCCAGAACCAGAAGAAAAGGCACATATTAGGTGGGAAAAATCTTTTCATTAATATCTGATAAAAGTGTGCCATCCAAAATCTATAGAAAATTGACATAAATATACAAAATCAACAGCCATTCCCCAATAGACTGAAGGTCAAAGGGCATGAAAAAATAGTTTTGAAAAGAAATAAAATAACCACCTGAGAAAAATTCAGAATCACTAATAATCAGATAAATGCAAATTAAAACAACACTGTGACAACAAGCTAGCAAAAGGTAATGAAAGATAGGGAAATACACTCTCCCACCCCCAAAGTATCCAGTATCAGATATTTGTCCCTTACCTATCTGATACTTCTTTCTCAGTCTCCTTCACTGCATTTTCAACTATTTCCTGCCCTCTTTCCTTGTTTTTAAACCTGGGTGCATCTATGCATCCATCCATGCATCCATCCATCCATCCATCCATCCGTCTATCTAGCCATCTTTTCTCTTGGTGATCACATCAGTTTCCATGGCTTCAATTAACAACTATGCAGATGACTCCAAGATTTCTATATCCAACTCTGATTTCTCTTATGAGCTATAATTGTGTATCATCAGCTTCCTCCACTTGGATGTCCCACAGACATCTCATACTCAGCATGTTTGAAACAGAACTCTTTCTCCAGTCACCCATT